AGATCGAATCTTAAATGAATTTAACTTGCCAGAAAAAATGTATTGTGAAATAATATCTTTGAAAAATTACTTTTCTTCATTTGAATCTATAGCCATGGCTAGTTTTTGGTTTAAAGTACTTTTTTCTAAAAATGAACGAAATTTTATCATTTAGTCAAGAGGTATATCTATTGAAATTGTAAATGATTTAATCAAAGAATTACATAATATAAGAAACAAGTGGCATATAATTGAAAATGAAGCGAAATTAGTGGCAAGTAGTTTAAATATTTGACTAAATTTCCAAAATAAAGAAAAAAGAACTAAAAAGATCATAAAAAAATGTGTGATCTATTTTTGCCTATTCTATGTTACATGAAGTTATCTTCTACAGAACTTAAAATAAATTTGAAGAAAATCATATGTAGTTTATTCTGTAGATTTATCACAAAATATTTTGAATGAATTACTAAATTTAAGAAAAATTTATAAATCTGTTTTTTTTTTTTGAAATTGAAATACCTCCATTAAAAAGTTATTCAACGAAATATATACTAAAAAATTGGAGAATATTTGTATAAATACTTGTATTGCTTTAAGAATTTTTAATACATGACCAATTACAGTCCCTGAAGCATAGAGAGCATTTAGTAATTTTGGAAATCAGCTTAAAACCTGACCAAAAGCTTTAATTGGTCAAGAACATTTCAATGCTTTTGTATTTTATCAATTGAACACAAATTGGCATCAAGTATTAATTTTGATGACATTATACTTGACTGTTCAGAAAAAAACAGTTAAAGAAATATTTAGTTAATATAGCGTACAATATTGTACATGTTTTCAATTTATTAAGGATACCTATACATTTGTTGATATTTTATTTTTTAATTTTACCAATTTCTGTAATCTATACATAAAACTAATATTTAAGGTACATTTATGTCAAAATATTAATTGTTATTTAAGAAGAGCCCGGATTTAGTTCTGTACCAAGGCCAAAATTGTGATGTTACCCAGGGCCTGGGTAACGTTATATAATGATCATAGGTACACTTATAAAATGTCATTCGTTATAATAATTATTCAAATATTTCACACAAAATATTATATTGGCATACGTGCCAAGGTACTAAACGGATGGTTACTCAAATAAATTATCGTTCGAATTTCCGTTGAAAACGGAACCCAAGACGATTTGAATAAATAAAATATGTAAAAAGTGATCTTCTTGACTTTAAAATCCACGACGTCATATCATACACGGATTAAGTTTACGTATAAACACCTGCGAATTATATATGTGAGTACGAAATAAGAGATTAAATAATTCAAAAGAAATATTAATAATTTATACTTAACACCTATGCAAACGTATCATTTATTATCGTTTACTACCCGAGTTCCTGCCTACGAATATAAGCAAAATTATTGTTGAGTTTAATATTTCTGTCATATAAATATTGACCGTTTTTGAAGTACGCGTTATTTACTGATGATTCGTGACGATACCAGTGGCATAGCTAGAGTTCAATCAAGGAGGGAGGACAATTTATAAATTATAATAGGTACACCATAAAATATCACGAGGGGTTTCCACATCGTCAAAAAAAAATGTTAACGGTTATAATTTTTTTTTTCTAATAACTTTATTTTCATTTGTCAATTAAAAAAAATAAAATGTTTTATAAATACAAAGTATAAATATTATTAAACAAAAACGTATACACTATACATATACATTTGTATAAAACACGTAAAAAAAAAAACGCACGTAACAGTTTTTAGATTCCGAGTGGAGTGAAGAATTATATGGTTTTACAAAGATGTTTATTTTTTTTTTTGTGGACAACTTTTCTACAATAGATCTTACTCCGATTTTTATGGGTTGTAAATTTTCTAAAAGGAAATTTCACTAAAGAGGTACTTTAAAAGGATCGTTTTTCGATTTTCTCCGGAGTTTTCTCAAAAAATGTGAAAATCGGGAAAAACATGGGGACACTGGGAAAAATGTAGGAAAACCTGGACAACATTATCAAATATTATTAAAGAAAATTAAGCCTATTATATTATTTTACTATAATATGGCATATTTATTGTTGACAAACATCACTATCAACTGAAATCTGTTCAGAATCGTTTTTTCGTAAACAATAGTTTATCGTTGCTTACACACATTAATATTTGCTCGCTTAACTCGTGTTCAATTTAATTAATCACAATACCATTTACTTTTTACACGTTTTTATAATTTTACAGTTGTGATTTAGCGATTGTTAAGAAACTTGAAATTTGCTTATTTTTTTTTTAATATTATCTAGGTATGGTTTTTGTTGACGGTTTACCGCGTATTACCCGTGTATGGGTTATTACCATGATTTAAAAGTTTAAAATAATACCGTCTTTACTATTTAATATCGTGTCAGGATAACCATCGTTCAGTAAGTCGAACTCATTCAAAAGCGGTACCGAAACATTTTTATATGCCGGACACCCCGGCCATTCATAGTTTATATCGATTGCACATACCGCGGACTACCGGTACATAAAATAAGGCCCGCATCTGCAATCTATTATGGATACGTACTTATTGTGAATGTTACGGATAAATAGTTAATGCTCCTCACGGTTAGGTCACCGTTGTAGGTGGCATAATTACGGGAGAGGGGTTGTTGGGGATGGATCACCATCAGAACTTTTTTTTCGATATGTAAGTAAGTATGATAGTATAGTAATTGTATTTAAACCCCTGTGGTCTGCAAACGTGTAATATATTTTAAAATACAAATTGACTTTGAGTTCCATTGTTAACTATCGCTGCAGGTATAAGCGATGGGAATCGATTTATACATTATATACGAATATGATAACCGCTCAAACCTTTTTTCGTTAATGTCTCAACTAGTGTGGCGGTACGGCGCCAGGCGTGTTGATAATGCACCACTACTCTCCTCCATTCTAAAACTAAAAAGTGATATATCTCGTCAACGGCTCGGCAGAAATAAAATATTTCAATACTAAAATGTATTTTAACTAATACTCAATCTATTTATGGACTTTCTTTTTATATAGGTTGAAAATCAAAAATAGTTGTTTACACCCGAAATAAGGGTGACAAAAAATAACACAAATAAAAAATCGCGGACCAGCTAGTTTCTTGAATGTTCTAGAAACCGAATTCCGGAAAAACTTGATACTTAAACTTGATACCTACTTAAATAAAGTATCGCCTGGTACATTGAATTACCTATAAGAGTGGCTGCTTCCGTAACCAATATCCTAGGACGTCTTTTTTGAATCTACATATAAAACCGGTGCATACTAGTTGCTTCCCAAAGACATATTACAATCAAACTAAATTTGTAAAACTGATTGCCTACCAAATGCGACAATATGTTTTACAAAAAAAAAAAAAAAAAAAATAGATAATTTAGAGATAATAGATTTCAATTTAAAAGCCATAAGTATTTTTCAAATAAATACATATTATATTCGTATAAAAACGTACTGGTAGTTTCCACATCCGAGACACCATCAGGTAACGGGAAACCATTGTAGGACGTATAGAATAACAAAATACAAACCTATAATTATTAAATGCATACAGGTAAATTAGGGAACCCCGATTTATTTATTATAAATACGGGACATTTTAAACCGCACTTAAAATTTACATACATTGCAACAAACCATCATGTTGTGGAAGGGGGCGATGGTAAGGACGTAGCTCTCAAAACTAGTCCGTAACTCAAAAGTCGTCCAATCAAAATAAAAATGTTTACATTTTACGTCAGTTTTTGTACGAAATATAATGTTGAAATAAAACCGACCTATTAATGCGTTAACATATTAATTTAAAAATGTTATTCGTCTACAGTGATACTTACTATACAATTTCATAATATCACCGGCTACTGCTAGACAAGGAAACGAAAAAAAAAAAAACTAAAGTTATGATCTTCTTAGGAATTGTAACGGTCAATCTTAATTTATTTAGTGAAAATATATTTTGCAGATAAAATTATTTGACATAACTGTCATAATTAGATATTATTAATCAAAAAAATTTGAATTATTTAACTTAAGACGTAAGGAAAATTAAGGGACATACGGAATGGGTGATTCAAAATACGGGACATAAGTTTTGTTTAGATCATATTTGATCGGGACGCGGGACGCTTGTCTCAGATACGGGAAAATCCCGTGCAATACGGGACGTATGGGATCCCCTGGCAAATAATGAGCAAACTTTGACCAAGAACCGAGGCCCTCGGAGTCTTGCGGTCGTCGCCCCACTCGTGGCGCCCCCTTGATATGGGCTTGTCCGACGAATCGCGCGTATTGCCGGGGGGGGGGGAGCGTTCGTCAAGGAGACCCCGCGGTACGTGGAATTTACACGCGAAAATCTCCGTGCGTAAAATGCGTTTGCTGGTTAACGATAAAACGAATCGCCCTGTATGCCGACGCAATGCAACTCACACCCCGCTCGAAGTGGTCGTTCGGACGAGTTTTAAAAATCCAAAACATATCGCCACCGTCGTGGCCGTATCCCGTATTGTATAGCTTGTATACACGGGGGAGCATTGATTCGCGAATGTTGTTGTTATTATTATTATTATTATATTATTATTATATACAGAGAAACGTTTAATGGTATAAAACAAAACGAGAGAAAAAAATAAATAAACACGAAGAGTCTTGCGATATTTATTATTATTATTTCGGTAAAACGGGTTGTTGTTGTTGTATTTTCCCTCCCCTCAAACCCCCTACCCCCTGATTTCCGACGACCGAACGCCACCACCGCCCCGCGCGGAAGTCCAAAGGCCAGTAGGTAAGTAAGTGTTGTCGTGTGCCGCGCTCGGCGAACGGGCGAACAGTCGAAGCGCGAACGCCGAGACGGTAAGGCGCGCGCGGTGTTCGGACGGCGCGCGCGTGTAGAGAGACACTATGCGCTCCGCGGTTCCGCGGGTCCGCCGTGTGCGCGGCTGTCACGCATTCGAACTTTGAACGGCCGGTGCAGTGCAGTGCCGGACGAAAACGATCGCGGGCGACCAATATCGTAAGGTACCGCCGCCGGGGACCGTCTACGCGGCCCACCGGTTCGCTCGTTCGCGGCACGTGACGTATTTTCGGACAAGTCTTCCGCAAGTAAGCCCTGCGCTACCGTACGTATGTATACAACAACAGATAATATTCATACCGATAACGGTATCGTAATGCCCTGTACCGCATACCGTATACCGCGTACCGTACCCGTATACCGCCTTTCTGTTCTGTCCTTTTCCCCTCGCTGCTCGCGAACGACCGGAACCGCTACCGTTTTCTCGTTTAGACATCGTTCGCCTCGACTTTCAATTTCGCGGGTAATTCGATTCGAGTCGCGCTGAAGTTGATTTTTTTTTTTTTTTTTTTTATTAAATTTTGTCGAACGCATGTCCTCACCGTATTGTACGTAAGGTGACATTATTATAAAATACAATCATTTATCGGCTGAAAACGGTTTCGTTGTACATGCCTATTTAACGGTATTCAACCGGGGGGTTTTTTTTTTTTTTTCTTAAATTTTCATTGTGAATTCGCAATTTGATAGCGACACCAATACAAAGACCCACGATACAATAAGTTTAATGTTGTTCGGATCTCTTTTAAGAATTAGAATGTTCGATAAACGTCTAGCGTTTGGTCCTCTTAATTACAAATGCAGTAAACGACAAAATGTAAAACACGATTTTTTTTTTTTAAGATATAAACACATATTAGGTTGCTCGAGTCGTATTTTTTTTTTTTAAATTGTTATGTATACTTGACATTGACTCGATAATGACTCGATTTTAAGGGACTTGGCTGAGTTTCCGGGGCGAATAAAACCCGCCAAGTGCCTCCAACCCGTTAAATTTGCGCCAATAACGATACTAACCAAATACACCGCAGTTTCAAACGTAATACCGTAAGCAAAAATGCAGTAACTGCACATTACACTATACGGTAATTGTTTCGCGTAGTATTTAGCTCGCGTGTCGCTCGTTTGGTATTTGATAAGAATAAGTATCGAGAAAACAAAGTGGAAAAATTTCGCGGTAAAAATTTCACAACGATGTCATTCATTGCCTTTATAGTTCTCGATGTTATTCTCAATAGTCACGACATTGAGTTGTCATTAACAACGACCGTAATAATAATAATAGTTATTATCATCGATAATCAATTTTATCAGTACAACCGCAGATATCAGTGGCGTACGTACCCGGGAGTGAAGGGGACTAGAGAGATATATCTCCCTCCCTTTAACTTTTTTTTTTTTTTTTGTATCAGTTATTTGTGCACGGCTATCTATTTTTAAAACTCATATTTCTTTACATTTAAAAATCAACAATTTTTTCTTATGTGTCGGCATGCCTTATATTCTAGTAATTAATACGTAAATATTATACGAGTGTATAAACAAAACAAATCCCGGTGGCATACATTTTCCGGTTTCATCGTTCAAAACTAAACCCATCCTAACCACCACCGTGATATGAGGCAGGTTATAAATCGGATACCTAAATAGTAAATAGAATACACATAGAGAATTATTTACACACTTAGTTATTGGATTTCAGTGGTAATTTTTCGGGCACATCGAACTATGAACTATACACAACCAAATATACAATATTATAATTGTTAAAAAGCTAATTTTACTCCAAACAATTTGTACCCGTTACGCGAATACGACACGATTTCCAATTGAAATGTCGCCCACCTCGGCACAATCCCGTGTGTACGCCGCCGATACACCTAGCCAGATAATGTTGTAGTTTAATGTATACACACGGTACTTAACACGAACCCGGAAAACATTTCGCCGGCATAGATACCCGGCGATAAAATAATAAATATTATTACGATTTATACGACTCGCGATCGCGTTTCGAGTACAATATTATAATACCGACCGAAATAATTATCATAACGACGTCTGCGCGATTCCCATTCGAATATTATATCGCGCATATTGTACAGGTATTTGTTGTTAGTTTAGATACATCGTAGTTTTCATATTATGTGTGTTGTAGCTGCACGCTGCACAAGCATAATACAACTGGCTGCAGTTTTTTTTTCCCGCGTCATATTTATTATTATTTTTTGTTTGTTTTTTGTTCACACGTTGAGAGCGGAATATGTCCGCAGAGGATCGTAAACTCCGGCCTTATAGGTACCCACCCACCCATCCACCGACTATTATAATATTATTATGACGCGTATAAATTCGAGAGCTATTGCGAAACGCGACTATACGGTTTAATAGATATACGTGTTTAAATTCACGGTAAATTCTCCGTTTATATATATATATAGTTTATTCGAAATTTTTTTTTCTACTTCCCCACATTTTATAAGTACGCGATAGAAATACGAGAATTTTTCGTCGTATTTATTTTACGCATATTAGTATTGATTTTTTTTCTCGGTAAGATGAACTTTAAACATGCGATACGACCGAAAAATATATTACAAGCAAACAATTAACCTTTTCGAATCCAAAGAATAATAATAATAATAATAATAAAAAAAAAAAAAAAAAAAAAACCTCTTTTAACATCAAAAATATATTACATAGGTAACGCGATTGTTATTATTTTTCGTTAGATACTTTCGATTGTCGTTACTACCGATTGCCGGAATATACGCATAATACCATTAGGATTATAACGCAACGATTTCCGCGTCTATACGGGAAATTACGGCGTAAATAATAATAAGTACTTCGAATTGTTTTAGTATTTTTATTTATTTTTTTGTCGTTAAAACGGTTTTATTACTACACTCACTCACTCACTCACACACACACACACACACACACACACACACACACACACACATACCGTATAAGATTCGGTCTAGTACAGCGTGTTATTTGCATAATTTATAATGCACGAAAATTATAAACCAAAAAAGTACACAGGTACCTATGGTATAACGTATTATGCGTATAATGCGAAGAAAAAAAAATAATAAAAAAATATAAGTACCTATATTAAAGGTCGATTATTATAGTATGAGCTGACGCCCATTTAAAAAAAAAAAAAAAAAAAAATATCATATTATTTAATAATATTATTTACATTATATTTAACCACGAAAATTGTTTAATATCTTCGTTTGCGCGCAACCGAGTTTACGGCACTATCGATATAATAATCTCGGGTCATTTTTTTAAATATTTTTTTTTTGTATTCGGAAAAAGACCAGCTCGTCGACGGATAGGCTGCAGGCGGCATAACGTACAATATTGTAATGCACAGCAATCTATATAATATTGTTCCGTGATAATATCATCACGAGTAACAAGTAGGCGAACCTATGTATAGCTATAACTGCGCATACGGATACGCATATCATTATTTTCTTTTCCCCTATTTTAGAATATTAATAACGCGCGGGAATGTCGGACTGACCGCGTGTATACGAATACGGTTTTTTCGTTTTTGTTTTTTGTTATTGGTAGGCGACCATACCGATACCGTTTTATTTACTGTAAAAAAACAAAAAAAAATAAAATAAAAATAACATTTGAACGGCCGCCGCGGCAAAAGCCGAACAGCTGCATTGAGTGTTTGAAAGTGTACTGCAATACACGAGTTACGTGTAATAATATTATAGAGGTTTTAAATTTACATTTCAAATGTCAGAGTACGTAATATAGGCTATTACACGGAATTACATTTGTATGACATTGTTATTACAGCTTTGACGGGCGCTCATACGTAACGGACACATTTTTCCAGCGACTCGGCGGCGGACGAGACGTGTTAAGAGAGACGAGGGCACGCTAAGGGACATTTTCCCCGAGGCGGGCCATGGGTTTCAAATTTACGGGGCGTCCGGTTCGTTATACAAAACTCGAAACAAAATTAACAATGTATCACCACCCGTGTTACCGCGTCTTGATAGTGTTGTTTTATTTCCAAACGCTTCGCTCAGAGTAACAATGAATGCTGTTTGGTGATTAGAAATGGAACCGAGTAACGCACATAGCACGTGGCGTATATCTAGACGATAGATCCAGAACTGTGGAATAAGGGGGGTGGACAATCTTATTTGACGGAGGTTAGGTATTTTGTGAAAACAAGCAATTTTGAGGGGGGATCAAACCTCAAATCGTCTTCGGGTAAGGCCATAAGAGGCGGCGCTTAAAAACTGATTGCTCCGGGTGCCGAATGATTTAACGCGATTCTGGGAGGGCATGTAAATGGGACGTTTGCCACTCCCCGCAATCTCTTAAAAAGACTTCATTAGATATTTTATGATAATATTACAAATTCAATAATAGTCGTTGTTGAGGCTAAATTCTAATTTATAGACAGGCCTATGCAACTCCAATCATTCGGTCATTCATCGATACACCGTGTGTCGTTATTGTCGAGACTCCTGGTCGTTTTTTTATCACTTAAATTATAACAAAATAAATAGGTTTGTACGCAGATTTTTCGTGTACACTATTCATATGTTAACAGTGTCTTCGTGATACGTCTAACTATGCACACCATAATAAATACCTCATTTACACTTAAAATAATTTAACCAAAATATTATCAAGTTTCAACTTTTTTATTTTTTTTTAGACATCAGCTGTACAAAGGCTACGTAGAAGGTAATTAACCTACCAAATTATTATACCTAAATTAAATAGGTACCTAGGTACTGGTCGTGTTTACAGCGTTTAAAATTACATTTTTTGACGTTCCCATAAATACATAAAATATTTATGTTTAGTTTGACTGCATAATGCACATTATAATATTATAAATTTTTTCAAAACTATTTCCTCCGGGAATTTGATTGACGTTGTGGATTTTGTTTTCTCGTTGACCCGCATACGCGTAGACACTCCTGCAATGGTTTTTTTTTTGTTGTTTTAATATTATTTAAAAATCAAAAAAAAATGCGCAAACGTTTATTATTGTATATTTTTATTTGTATTTCGCCGCCTCCGACCGAAGATTTACAGTTTCAAAAATCGTAATTTAACCGCCGAAGATCACCGCAGCTCTCACCGCAGCCCTCACTCGAGAATATCACGACGGCCTACGTGGGTAACCTCGAAATCATTCGGACTTATCTTCTATTTCCATAGATATCGTATATAATAATATAAAAACGCTCGTCCGATTCGAGTGGTTATCCGTCATTTACATCGATATTTTATTGAGTCGGCTCTTGCACGCCGAATCGAGTTATTAAATGCGCATAATAGGCTGTACCTATAGGTACATATTATTATAATACGCGTTCGGTCTTCTTCAAATCGACCGATTTCGTCTCTCAAAACATTTTTATTTTTTTTCTACGCACTCGGAATAAAGTGAATTCTATACCTGTATATTGTACGAGTGGATAATATAGTAATAATATATAGTGATGTCTATTAAATAAAAAAAAAAAAAAAATAGTCGTTGAAAAACCTATTTAACTTTCCCATCTGACCTACGCGGCGATAACGTCCATAAGTACGTACCAAGGTGGTTCGAAATTTCAAATTGCCAGTAATGTACCTTTAACCAAAGGATCGTGAAGGATCGCGTTAAATATTGAGAGTTGCACCGGTTTAATGTGCTTTATGTTTTGGTCCACATTCCACTAATTATAAAGGTTGTCGGACTTGCGATAATTTTATAGCCCGCCGTAACAAGAATCACTTTAGGTCAAATAAGCAAGTTATATTACTTCGAAATTTCTTCGAAAATGTTCCACTTGCTGCTGCTGTAGCCCAGGCACTTCCACTGTACGTAATATTCCGAGAGAGTTTATCTTACGATGATGCAAAAGCGACCAAAGAAAATAACGCGAAATGCAGACACACACGAATCCTGAATGGGTTCGTTCACTTTTAGTTTTTATAATAATTTCGGTTTAAATATTGTAATATTTAAAATAAAAACTCACTGTACGAATTCTCGCTCCTTATATCCGCAGGTTCGAATTATATTTAGCCACATAGGTAATATATTTCCGTCTAAGGAAACATTAAACCTAAATTTTTCTATCCGAGAACATTTTTAAGACATATGACAAGACAATAATATTTAATAATCTTTCACACCCATTTGTGGAAATCGGAGGAGGGTTTAAAACTATATAAGCCCGTTAAAAACGTATAAACTGAGAAATTAGTGCTCCATAAATTATTAATTAATGATCTTATTGATTACTGATTAATCCGAGGAGGCCAATATCTCTGTTTATACGTTTTGAGCGGGTTTAGGCCTCTCACCCCCTTCGTAATTTTCACCAATGTCCACATCCCTTTATCTTTATCTTATTAATTCTTATTTCTACATAGAATTTCGTAGGTTACATATCTTGCATCGCGTGTAAAGTCTAAATAAATCAGAAATGTTGATGTAAAATGTTTATATAAAAGTACACAATGTTTATGATTTGCTGAGAAGTGATTAGAAAATTAAATAAACCCATCCTAGGTTTTCAAACCAACCATGACAATAACCCCGGCCAAAACATAATTTTAAAACGAAACTCCTAGTGATGAGGTTGAGAGTAAATGTCCGTTCACAGCAAGTTTCTATTTTACAAAAGTTCAAATACGTATAAAAATTAATTTTGAAGTCATTCGAATTTCTGTTTTATACCTCCTTTTTTCGTTTTACAGTCTTGTAGATAGCTGGATTTATTTTGTATATTTCCACGTATAGTTTAGGTTAGTATTTTCCCTTTTTTCTTTTCAAAAAGAGCTCATTTAATACAGAATAATATAATAAAAATTTTGTTCAAAGGTAAAAATAATGAAACCGTTTGTGTCGTAAACTGCTTCGGTTTTTTCCAGTTATCAAGAAAACTAAAAGGGAAATCACAAAACGACCTTCTTACACATCAAACAGATACAATTTTTTTTCAGGTAAAAGATGCTTTTTTTGAAATTTAGAAAAAAATTACTCGAAGAAATTAAAAATCGAAAAACTTTAAGATGATGAAATCGTTAGCGGCATCGTAAATATTTGTATTTTTCGTATACGGTTTTTTTCCGGTTTTCCTCATTTATTATGAAAACCTCTTGGAAAATATAAAAATGCTCCAGTTAAATCCGAAATTCAGTAGAGAAAGTTCGTAATTTCTTACTGGAGAAAGATTTCTTGTAGAAATGTTGTCGATAAACAAAAAAAAGCTACCCCCACTTATTCGTATGTTATCTTGTTGTCCGATTATTATATCCATTTTTATACAATATATAATAAAAATAATACATAAATATTTGTTACAATACCTATTTTACTGCAGGCTATACTGATAATAATATTTCGTGATAAGAAAAATACTGTTGGTACCTATATTATCAAATGAATCAATACTCGTATTGATTGCAATTATTATTATTTTGTTTAAATGTTAAATAATGTCACGATATGGTCAAAATGTCATTCTTTTTTGATCAAACATCACGAAATCTTGGCGTGTATAAATATAAATCGCAAGAAAATAATAATATTTTAATTAAACTGTCGCTCACCTTGCAAAAAATTCGAACGTGTTTGAGTTTCAATTAAGTTTTTCAATCGTAATATTATGAAAATAAACGAATCGTATATTATGAAACGATTTTTTTCAATAAATCAAAATACCATTATAGGCCCACTATTATTATTCACCGTGTAAAAATCCTCTAAATGCTTTCCATTTCATGGGTACTCGAAAAACACCAATTTTTTTTCTTCTCTTAAATTTGAAATATTGTATTTAACGCGCTTTTTATATTCATACCTTAGTTACGTAACGAATTGCATTAATATTTTAGGTAATATAATTAATTTTTTTTATGTTGTAAATGGTTCTGGGGATGAATCTATTGGGGGATGAACCTATTATAATCGGGGGCAGGGGACCGGCGAAGAACGTAAGGAGATTCATTATCTCAGCTAGTTTTATAGACATTTTAGCGCACCTCTACTATTTAATTTTAAGTGGAACGTCTGGGGCGGTACATATTTTTTGCATTTTTATCATTCAAATTTGAACTTTAAATCAACTCGTGATAAAACTTATGGTTAACTTTTCGAGCATTTTTTTTGTTGGGTCAAAACAATTTTAATCACATAAAACCAAACAAAAACCTTAAAAACTCTACTGTTAAAAAATGTTCAGAATGTTTTGGAAATTGTACCACGTCCGGATAAAGAGTAAATAAACTCTTAGATTATATATAAGAGGGTGTGTGTAAATATTTGGCGAAGTTTCCGGTTTCTTATTTTTCACTAAATTACAAAAATAAAAACGAAATATAACAGAAATCGTTATTACAGTTTTTCCGACTTTTTTTCGGCTTTTCTCTATTATTAAAACAATTACAAGGGAAATGAAAATATGATGTTCTAATTGCACCAGCTAGACAATATTTTCTACAGGAAACTACCATCCCTAATGTTAATAATCGGAGCAGGATTTTTGCTAGAAAGGTTGTTTATTGAAAAAAAAAACTACTGTTTAAACGTTGGTATAAGTGGGGTGTAGGAATTATTTTGAGTTCAATAGTTGCAAGGGACGTTAATTTTGTTTATGACTTACTACAGTCCTGCTTTTATTTGTTCAATTCGAGCACTGGATGATTCGTTTTCAACCGCAGTAAAATATTCTATTAGCCATACTTATGAATTTTTATACTGTATAGTAGGTACAGTAGGTATTATAAATATTTTGAAATTTATAAAACGATTATTGTATTACGAACAGTGTCTACGATGCTATGGATATTGAAAAACTTTTTCTCAATATTTAGGGATATTTCGAAGATTACGATTCGCCAAAATATTAATATATAAGTAAACTTTATGGAAGTTATACCGAAAACCTTTTCACCTTGAGTTTCGTTCAAATTTAATGGTTCGAAATAAATGTACGCGGTGCAACGGTGAAATTGTTGAATCAAAAAAAAAAAAAAAAAAAAAAAAAAAAAATAAATAAATAAATAAATGAAATCATACATCTGGTGTCTGAAAAGAAATAATAAATCAATCGCTTATTAAAGTGGTGGGTATTTCGTAAATCCCGTGGAATAAAATTTAAATTCAAATATCATCCAAAAATAATTTAATTAAAAAAAATAAAAAGGGTTTTTCTTTTTTAATAATAAAATAATAGGTACCTACCCACTTTAACGCATTAAATGGTAATTTATTATTTTAATCGTTCCTGGGGATTTAAAACGATGAAATAATATAATACATATTGTTATTATTATTATTATTTATTCGTTCAAAATAATTTAGTATTTTTGACGGTGTTATAAAAATAGTATATTAACGGGTAATTTGTCTGGTTTGTCTGTTGAAAGTATTTTTACATCATGCAGTCGTGTTAAAACCGAATTGGTAACCGATATAATAAGATGAGGACAATCATTATAATGCAGGAAGCTGCGCGGTCTGTGAGTTAATATTAAAACACAAACAATATTAGGACTGATATTGTAACACGATCAGGCTTAGTAATTTTGTAAATATAATAATAGGTATTATAAATAATATAAATTATAAACCCAACCGAAATCAGCAAAACACTAGACAGTAAAAGAGCCGCTAAAGACTGGGTGTTGGGTACCGTGCCATTCGTTCGACAGTCGTTGTTTTACCATCGAATTCGGTAATGTATAAATATTTTAATAGCATATTATACTTATTGAATTTACTGAGACATCTGCGTTCAATAATTCTATAAGATATTACTTCCGTCTATCGGCTTTTTCTGCGGGGTCCATAAGACTTACGGATACTTAGTATTCCTTCGTTTTTTGTACGGATTTGAGACTTGGGTTGGAAATGGAATAGGTACCACCAGTACCACTGAGAGAAAAATTACAGGACAATCGGGAATGGAAAACTGAGGGCAATATGCGGAGCAACGAGGAATGAACGTAGAGAAGTAAATTTAACATAGAACTGGGCAGAAACAGGCGGAGATACCATCAGTCATCAGTTTCGTGAATGGACAGAGGATTTGACGGCTGATGCGAAATAACGTGAACCGTATGAAGAGACGGTGTCATAAATAATCGGAGTCCAACGAGAAAAATAACTCGGGGTTAGCTCAGAAAAAGATGGTTGAATGTCATTGGAAAAAACGTTGATAGACTGGGAGTGCAAGAATGTAGCGAGGGATTGTCCAAGGTCAACAGAATGCCGACGGCGATTAATCTGAGAAAGTAATAACAGTGCTGGGAATGAAGACAATAATTAGCCATATCAGTCTAAATCATACAATTCCACCATAATGTGTATAAAAAAATAATATACAATTTGATATTGCGATTGTTGCAAGCGTTGTTAGAGTAATTATACTAACAATAATGTGATATAGCTTATTAATAATATGTAAAAAAAATAATAAGGTAAAACGAAATTATTAAAATGGTTAACACTCGTAAATAAATAAAGTAAATAAATATATACGAATAAAAAATTGATATATAAAAATAAAATCAATAATAATAATCAATGCGTTCGCTGGAGTATCATGACAAGTGTATCGTCTGATGTACCCGGTGATGAATTTTTAATTCGAAACCAGTCGCACAATACACTTATCATAATAACCGCTGGCGACGCGTTCATTCATACATTTATTTTATTTTTATATACCAATTTCGTATTCATATATTTATTTACTTTGCTTTTAATAATATATTATTAAATTTTTATTGTTCACTCGTAATTCAAGATTTGACGTAGGTAGTACATTATATTGTTATTGTTATTATAATTATTATATAAGTACTTACCCCGTTGCGCGAGACGAATTTTTATTATATTTTTCCGTAAGAAGATCGCAATACTGTTGTTCAAAATAAAAACCGTTGGCTTAAACGTTTAAGAGCGGAATATAATTATATTATTTGCGAATTTAACTGGCATATACATATTTTTAAGCTTGTATTAAAAATAATAAAAAAAAAAACGGTCTCGGTAGTAATTTTAATTTTTAATTTTACGAAATGAAAACGGGGAATAAAAACCAGTATATTTGTATGATGTTTAAAACGCAAGAGCCGATGTAGCTTACTTTTTGCGTATTGAACGAACAACTCGTTATCGGGAATACATTTCAAAACCAAAAACAAATGTACGTCCTAGAATAACGCAGACGGGCGCAGCCACTGTTAATTTAATGTATATCTGTGAGCAACGATAAAACATTGCTAACGAAAATAGATTCGGATAACAGTTCAGTTGATAGTGATGCTTTGTCAACAATACATATATCATATTATGGTAGAATAATTAAATAGGCATTATGTATTATCTTTAATTATATTTGTTCAATATTGTACCGATTTTCCCATGTTTTCCCGATTTTTCCTATTAATTGGGAAAATTAAAAAATTACGTTCTTATAGTACTTTTCCAGTTAGGTTTTCCATTCAGAGAAAGTGCTATCATTTTAAATCGGAGCAAAATTGCTGGTAGAAAAGTTGTTCACTGAAAAAAAAAGGCCATAATATGTTTTTTACAAACTTCTACATTTCGTAAATTTTCCGTTTTCCGACATTTTACCCCGGTTTTTTCCAGATATTACGAAAACCGCTTGAAAAATCAAAAAAATAATTTATTTAAATTACCATGAAGATAAAGTTTCCTTTCAGAAAATAACCTAGACTTGAAATATTGGAGCAAGATTTCTGGTAGAAAAGTTTGCACAACAAATCGAGGGGTATTTTGCGACTGTTGTAGGTGAGAAGTTCGGAAGGACACATAAGGTTATTTCATTTGTACCTGTATCAATGATAAACCATTGCTTGACGAAATACAACTCCGAGCGCAGTTGGATAATACATTCGAAGTGCCTTATTGTTTTTGTGATTTCCGTTTCAATTTGATTTCAAAATGCTTTTTAAAAAAAGTCAAAAGTCGTCCGATGATTTTGGAAATTTTACCGCGTCTAGGTAAGTCCAATATAAGTATTATCTATGTCTCTATGTGCATTTATAACCGAATTACAGCAAAAAAAACTCCCAAAAATTAAAAATCTTTTTAAGTTTAAAAGTGGCTCAAAGATTTTAGTGATGATACCGTAAGAAAATAAATTAAAAAGGCAACATAAAAGATGTGAATTTTTGATTAAATCATTTTTTTCTGGTAGAAAACGTTGTCCGTGTTTTTATAAAATAATGAAATCGTGAAATTGTACGGTTTCCTAAGTTTTTCCAACTTAAGTGCTTTTATCGTATTATGCATTTAAAATATCGCCCAAAATCAAATCAAAAAACGACCTATTTTAGTATAATTAAGAAAATTTGAGCTTTCATAAAAGATTTATACCTCGGAATAAGTTTACTAGTTTAATAGTCTTGTCCACAGGCAAAAACAAAGAAAGAAAAAGATATAAACAGCATTGTAAAACAAATAGCTCCTTTTCTACTCTTGGAATTTAAAAAAAATTGAAAAATTAGATTTATTCCACATAATTTTTTCATCAAAATTTAAAATAAAAATTCCCTTATAGAAAAATTTACTACATTAAAGTAATTTTTTTTTACCTCAACATATGACTCATAATGAGCATCCTGTTAAATTTTGAAACATTTCTATTTAAGTTTAAACATTTTACTGCAGTATACCTACCGAATAAATATTGCGTACAAAACTCTCAAAATTAAAATGTCTTTGAATACCTCAAAAATGGCTTAAATTTTTTGAAAATTTTACCACATCTAGAACATTTGTAGTCCTTACCCAGCGAGTAATAAAACAACAACAAAAAAAAAAACCATACGATTTGATTATCTTTATTATTTCAGGAGATATTGTAATGGTTATATCTACGTGAGACACACTGTATAATATGATATGATATAAAACATTCAAAACGCAACGTTTGGAGTATTTTGAAAGACTTGTGTATTTATTTATTTTTCGATATGTCGGGTATCAATTTACAAATTAATACTACACGGCTTGACTTTGAATAGTGATTTGGCTAAATGCCTTCGTTTTCATACATGTTTCTTACAAATATATATTAGGTTTGAATAGTGTTACATCGTCGTATTCACCTGATTAATTATGTCAAATCTGTGTATTAAAACAATAACTCAAAGTTTAAATTTCATACACGAACACATCGGGTTCACGTGAAATGCCGAAGTTTCGATATTGACAAATTATAGTATCTCTAGTATAGTATCGTAAGCTCTTCGGTTCATAGTTCGGAAGAGTAGAGATTCGTGAAAATGTCTGCGGTCTCATAGGTGAGCACACTGGTTTTCCAAACAAATCATCATAATCTAATAAACTATTTTCTCGAGTTTGCGAATAATTCGCATGCATTAAAAAACAGTCTGTATTATAATAAAATTTTAAATGTAAAAAAAATGATGCTATTTTTAAATCAAAAGTTTTGTAGTGTTTTTTTCTTTTTTAAATATACTACGAAGAGAGATAAAACTTTGAAAAGAATTATAAACATAACAGTGCAGTATACGAGCGTAAAGTTTAAAATCTAGTAAATATTTTGGACTTGACCGCGTTAAAAAAAATCTTACCGCTGTTGCTAGTACATTTTTTTTTGCGGGAAAAGAAAAATTGTTAAAATGATTTTAAAATTGTATATCACTGCGGTGACGCTTTTGCGGATTTATAATAAATTACTGTAAAAACAAATTGGAAAACGCTGTACAAGCTTCAGCAGTGATTATTGTTTTACGAATTAATCGAAATGGTATACAGGTGCTCGTAACTGAGCATTATCGATATTATTATTATTATTAGCCGTACCCACTAAAAATGGTCGGCACCGAAAATAAATTGGTGTATTCGAAGAAAAATAAAACGACCTATTAAAGTTAACGTACGCATACACCATCCGGGACCAATCTTCTATGTTCATGTATAATATACGACGTGTATTGTAAACGCATATAAACGCGAAACATTTACCGTTTTCATCGCACTCCAAACTGCTGCAACAATTGATGCCTATATACGCATTATGTATTAATAACGACGTATAAACGCCCACCATTTGTAAAAACCAGTTTGTCGGTATCCGACAACGGTTTTATTACCCGATTAATTCAGTTTTGGGTAAAATCGTTTTCTAAAAGTATTCAGTATACGTATTCGAATGTTTTACAACAATAACAGCGTAGGAATACGTGTTAGAAATAACGTAAGATTTTTAGTTCGAACGACTTAAGGGAACTATAGATATTTTTTAACTGTTGGGAATTCGGAAAAATGTTTCGAATCGAGTACCATCGGGGGACCAATTGCGCAGCTTTTAAAGTAAAACGTGAACACACCGAATCATTTTTACTTACTGAAAAAGTAAGAAAATACTACCGAGAAAATAAAACACACACTTCTTAATGTCAAACATTAAAATATAATCTAAGACGACGCTGTGGAAAATAATTTATTTTTTCAAGAAATAAAATACTTTTTGAAACTATTCGGAATTCGGTATTGAATTATTTTGAAAATGTATAAAATACTCTACATTTATGCATGTAAAAATACTGTATTCGGAATGCTATCCGTGTCTGAATTCATTTTATAATACCATTTGTCGACGGTGCTGTATGCTGTCTACATAAGAAATTGATGTACACAGGATAATTCACTAAGCGTACTCACCTCATTTGTTTGGTTAAATGTTGTATTTATTCAAATTCTGTGATTTTTCGAATTGTTAAGCGCTGATAGTTAAAGCCGATATTTTCGAATATTTAGATTTTTCACAATACTTAAGGAGTATCCTGTGGCGAAACAAAATTTGGTTTTTTCAAATGAGAACTTGTTTTATAAATTCCATAAATAAGTGGAGTATTACTTTAAATACATTTTGGCGTCTATATTTTTGATTTCTGCCAACCCGTTAACGAGGTTTCACTTATGAGTTTAGGTAGGGAGAGTGTAGTGGAGTACCGTTTGTGTGTTAGCACGGCACGTGCCATTTTATTAGTGCTCCGTATTATGTATATAATACGGGTAAGGATTTTTTTTTTACACAATTTTTATTATGGCGCAAAATTATTTTTATTTTTCCAAAATCAAAAATTAGTAAAATAATAATGAATTTAACGGGCAGATGTGATTTTTCATATAGATAGCGTACTCATATTATAATAGACATTTAAATGGGTTCGTGAATTTTCGTGTCGTGTAGAATTGAATTTTCTGGATTATGTTGTAGCCTTTTGCAATAATATAAAATACGAAATAACTAATAAGATGTATCCGAAATTAATCGCACCAGGTAAACGCTATCACGAGTATTGCATATTCATTCTCTTCTCGGTATCTTCGTGGTAGAAACGATTGAAATGTATATTATTTTCTGCAACAAGATGAGCCAATCAGAAATCAGTATTTCACACGACACGAAATGACACGACGTGGGCCGTCCCTTTGTATTCGGTTTCAATATTATACAAGTCGATAAGTAAGCACGTTTATAGATAACGAATATAAATTAATTAAACGATAGAGTAGAAGTTAATTAACCCTAATAAATAAGTATTAAGTAGGCAATACATAGTATGGAGTAATATGATTTATTTTGCATGCGTACGAGATTCTCGAATCTTACTGTAAACCAAAGTATATTTGTGTTGGAATATTATTGGTTTTGTTATTTACCGTATAAAGTACTATGAGTATCGTACGCAAACAAAATAGGTTCTTCGACATATTACTCTTCTTTAAGTTATAACTTATATGCAACGTTTATCTCGGAACGTGTATAAATATTTGTCAAGTATACTTTGACATTCGAAATTTGTTGTCTACAAACCGTAAATATCGAAATACGGGCATATTTTATGTCCATTTTTACAAAGTAAAAATATATTATATACTAATATTTAAAGACGAACAATAATTACAATTTTGTTCGAATGTCTGTTTTTCGTCCGTAGACCTATACCGTTATGGAGAATATTTTTTATTGTATTGATATTTATTTTGACGTTGAACAATATACTCGATTACCCATATTATGACAAATTCGTTAATCTATGCCAATTTTCAAACAAATTTTGACTTAAAAAAAAAAAAAAAATGTCTTGGAAGTACTTTTATAAATTTAATGCATTATAATATTGTTATTATAAAATAATTTTAATCTGCGGTTCGGAGAATTTTTTTTTCTTTCTTCATCTCAACATGCAAATTTTCCCGTTTTCTTACGTTTTATCCGGGTTTTTCTCAGATATTATGAATATCACTTCTAAAATCAAAAAAAAGACCTCCTAAAAGTACCGACTGGATAAAATTCCCGTTCAGAAATGGTGACGCGCGTATATATCTAAGCGGGATTTCTGGTAGAATTTTTGTACATAATATAAAAAAAAAAAATAAACATCTTTGTAAAACCAATATATTTTTCATTACACTCAGAATCTAAAATACTAAACAAAATAATCCTTCATCGTCTTGTGTTTTTTTTTTTTTTTTTTTGAGGCTTGAGATTTTTGAGTGGAAATGTTTCGTATTTTACGAAGAACTAAGACGGTAACCAATGACAGATAAAAGAGAGTGAGGGTTAATCGAGTTTCTACTGTACCTTAATACAAAGGTGCGGTCTATTGTCAATTTTCCTTTTTTCTATGGTGGCCCTAACTATTTTACCGACATATGAGTTTGTTATTTCCAGCAATAATGATGTACATAATTTGTAGTATTAGTCTAGGAGAGATATTTTTCTATAATACTTAGTGGATGATAATCTTATACTTGGGTATCAAATTTAAAACTTAACATGATGCGGATCACGACGTATTTTTTTCGAGTGCATGAAACGGGCCTGTCATATTTATTTTGGGAAAACCCAAGTTGAGTTAGTTTAATCTATTACCTTAATGGCACTATTAGAAGTTGGCTAGATAGTGTTCGAACAATTTTGTTTTTTGTTACTTTACTCCGTTGTATACAATTATTCATTTTTTTTTTTCCATAGTTGATATTTCTATTGTAATATAGTTTAAGTTAATGATATAATCTAAAACAATTTTAATTTCTGCCTTGACGCGTGTTGGTCTCGTGCTACCGACATCAACGACATTGACAAGATTACAAGATAAATTATTACTGTGGACCCAATTCGAGTATTATTAAATTGCACCGTGGACCTAACTCGTGTTTAATTTAAGCGATCAAATATCACAGGTATCAAATCGTGTTTTCTCTTATTCAGGTCCTCTTTTTTAATATAATACATATTACTACTGTATTCCCGTTTTCAGGATTAGTTTCTGTGTCCCACAAAGTTAAGATCGTATCCTTAATTTTTCTTACCATTTCCGCACCGCTTTTCTACAGTAACTCACCACTAATATTATTTTCTACGGGTGCATCATTATTCTTATGGTTATTAATTATGTTATTAATCTTTTCTTGTTGGGGTTTATCCATCCTCGGTTCTATTGTATACTAATAATACGAGAACCTTATTGATTCAAAACCTAGATAAATTGAATTTAAGGAATTTTTATTTCCTTTGAATTTCAAGACAAAATGTCTCTAGAAAAAATCTCTAGGATTTATGTGAATATTTTTCATTACCTATTAGTTTTAGACTGTGAGCAATACTTCTTAAAAAAAAAATAAAATAAAATTCGTTTGAACAAAAATTAAATAAATATTTAAAAAAAAAATTAAATTTAGCTAGTCAACTGGCTTGAGCATCATAATTAAATCTTGCAATATTCGTATCATATGTCTAAAGGCCTAGCATTGAAACTCGTAATCGTGAAAAATATATCAGAAACTACTATACAATGCTAATATTGTGATCAGTTATTATTTCCTTTGGAATATTTCCATTAAAGATATTTTTACAGGAGATATTTTTTACTGGGGATATTTCTTACGGGAGATATTTTGGCCGGAGATATTTTTGCTGAGATATTTTGTCCGGTCATCGTAGCGATGAGGGGGAACTATTGGTTTTTCCTTTCTTGGTTAATTGATATGTGTGTTTTGTATTTTTTTTAAAATGACTTTAATGAGTCAAAACCTAGATAAATTGAACTTAAGGAATTTTTATTTCCTTTGAATTTCGACTTGTATAAATTCTACTGTTTATTCAATTAATTTTTAAGTAGGTGTAAAATATTGCATTACCAATTAAAGAGACGAAAATTATCGATATTCGTCTACGAAACGGATAAATAGTAACTGAAATACAGTACGATAAATAGCCATGGGATGGTTTAACTTCATAGAGTTTCGTAAATATTTCAGTATTATTTTATTATGTATGCAATATTAATTATGCCAAAACCGATTAAGTATGATTTTTATAATAGTTGTGCAAGTTAAATTAAGAATTTTTTTTTTAAAAAAAAAAAACTAGGTAGATTATTGACATATGGGCATAGAGGTACGTAGACATAATACTATTTGTATACTATTCGTATACGTTTATAACAGAATGAGTCAACTCATTAATAGTATAATATATCTCTTTAATAAAAATGTCTAAATTAACATTTACGTTGTTATTAATGAAAAGGGGTACAAAATAATATACCTATATAGTTTTGAACACTTATAATGACAAAATAAAATAGAAACAAACAATACTATTAGACGAAGAAAACGGCTGTGAGTATACAAACGTAGGGATAATAGTCGCGGCCCTTGCGTGCCTTATTTGTGCGGGCCATCTGGATGTCCGTTCGGTGTTTGACACGGTTATTGGTCGACTCATAAAAATACGTGCTTTTAACAACCTAAAAAAGCTTAATAATTTAATCGTACGAGCACAAAATAGCGCCGTATACACGCCGCCTACACGAGCTAAAGGTTCTAATGGTTTCGATTGGAAAAAGTTTATGCATCAGGTTAGGTGTTATAGGCACCTATAATAATATTATTATATATTACAAAGCATGATATAGTACGCTCAACTCGAAAGTAACACACAAATATTATTTTTTTGTTCATATCTACGTATCGTTTCCCTAGCGAATTTACCACGAAAATAATATAGCCTGTAGTGGGTATAATGTAATATACCATACGTACCATGTCTACGGCTAATGAATTTTAATTTTACCATATAAATATATTCTCGGTATTTTTGCGTTATTACCTAAAATGCACGTCTAAGATCGAAATGCAGGACACGCCCGGTTGTCAGTATAGTTTGTGGTGTTATCCCACTTCGGCGATACTCATTTTGCCGACTAGAAAAAAATTGGTTTTCATACGGATCGAATAAGTAATTTCATTTTGCCGAATTCCCGTTTTAGATTCTGAGTGGAGCGAAGAAGCTATGGTTTTACAAAGATGTTTATTTATTTTTTCCATATGTGCGCAACTTTTCTACCAGAAGACTTGCTCGGATTTCTACGTGTAGCATCTTTTTTGAAAGAAAATTGGCGCAGAGAGGTAATTTTTCGATTTTCTCAATAGTTTTCTCATTTATTATGAAAAACTGAAAAAAAATAACGGGAAAATTAACGAAGTATAAAAAATATATTCTTACGATTTTTTTTTTTCTAGCAGCAATAATGTTTCAACTTTTAATGATAGCAATGTTTCTAAACATAAATTTCACTAGGGAGGTACTTTAGAGAGGTAATTTTTTTTTAAAGTTATAATTTTCCCAAGAGTTTTTCCAACAAATGTGGAAAACCAAGATGAAACATAGGAAAACCGGGAAAAACGTAGGAAAATCGGAAAAATCGGTACATTAAACAAGTATTATTAAAAAATATAAAGCTGTTTTCGTTCATTTTTTCTCTATAAAATGACATATATATTGTTGACAAAACATGGTTATTATCGTAAACATTGACTGCTTGGGATATTTTTCTTCGGTGGTCCGATTTTTTATTTACAATTTTATACCACCCAGATTTACATAAAAAAAAAAAAAACAATAGGTACTCAAAATATACTCGAGATGAGAATGAGGAATACCTATTTAACTAATTAAAATTATTTTTATTTATTTTTGATAAC